ACTCATTCATGATAAAGTTTCAGGCATGGAGTATCTTTCCAATCACCCTCTTGGTTGATCAGAAAGCATACTCAAGTTGCAAAAGTGAGATGCCACTCACACTAGATTCTCCAAATGTTCAAAATAGAATCATGCATGCTAACGGTACAAACAACAATTGGAAAGCTTAAGTGGTGCGCCGAGACCCTCTGCAATTTTCAAGTGGTCCAAGAAAAAAAAAGTTTGAGAACCACTGCATAGGAGGTTTATGATTTTTTTTTCCAGCTTTTCCTGGTTTCAGTGACATTTAATAAAAATATGAGGTCACTATGCCAAATGACAGTCTTTGTCTCTGCACGCCATGCTATTTAGACAAACCATCTCATTGCTAAAATTAAAAGGTTATTCAGCACACAATATTCTTGGATTTAACTAGATTATGGAGCCACTCACACCATGATCCAGACAACCTTCTTGCAGTAAGAAGAGATGAGTCTCATTTGGAACTGTGTCTAGTTAAAGGCATGACCAAAATATAGCAGTATATATCATGGAAATCTTGTTGCAAAGTATTACAAAGGTGATAATATGTTATACAGCTGTCCAACATTTCTAGAGTTTCCCACATCAAGTAAAATTTAAAAGTGTCTGGGGAAGGGCAATTTGTAGCAAGTCCTCTTATTTTGAAATAGAACTAAATGAAGGAGTCAGATACAAAAATACTCATTCAGTTTACAACTTTTTAATTAGACTAGCTATATACTTTAGTCCATTGTTGCCTCTTGGTCAAAATATATAAACAAAAGTGAGACACCACCAATAAAGGGAAGTTACTCCTCTGATGTACATATAATTATACTATCAAAAAGCTGACACTGAAATACAAAAGAGCCCAAGCAAGCTAGTATTCCTAACCAGACAGAAAGAGGTCTCTTTCTGATTATACCATTATCAGCTCCCCAAGTTCTTTCAGCACCAATTCAGATATTCTTATTTTGTAGTCTCCCCTACTTATACAAACTGGCGGACTGTGAGTATAAGCTGTTGAGTTTCATATTCATACTGGATAAACAAAGTCTTATTTTGATTCCTTAAGACAATTTAAACAAAAGGATGTTCTTTTATCTTAAGAGTTTCCAAATGGTCTTGTTCTTGAAAACCACTGCTAGGATAACCTAAAGGTATTTAAACAATTAGAAGCCAAAACTATTTCTGTTATCAGCAAATTATTTTAGTGTTCTTCGGTTTTTACTTCTTGCTACTTTTTTCAGTTGTGCTTTATCTTTGCTATAGTTTTGCCAGATATACAGTCATTATATTTGTTGTAAATAAGAAAATACTCACACTATAAAAATAATAGAAAAATGTTTTTAAGAAACCTTACTATAGTCATTAAAAAGGAAGTCATGGAGAAATGCTACTTAGTGTCTTCTTTACTAACACTTGACTCTAATGCAGTGGGTCTCAAACTGTGGATAAAGACCCCAAAGTGGCTTAAACTTGCTGGGGCCCCGGGCTTCAACCCTGGGCAGCAGGGCTCAGGTTACAGGCCCCCTGCCTGGGGCTAAAGCCACTGGGCTTTAACTTTGCCCTCCCCTCCCCCGCGGGCAGATGGGCTCGGGCTTTGGCCCTACCACCCAGGGCAGAGGGGCCTGGGCAGACTCAGGCTTCGGTCCCCACTCCTGGGGTCATGTAATAATTGTGGTTGTCAGAAGGGGGGTACTTCTGATACAATGAAGTCTAAGAACCCCTGCTCTAATGTGTATTTTCTTCCAAGTGAGATAAAAGAACTTATGAGCTGTAAGCATTAATTTTAACTGGAAGCTGCCATAGATTTGTGTAAACTGTGGCAGAGAGCAAAGAAGCCAAAGTCAAAGCTTAGGAAACGTTTTTAAAACTACACACTTTGATACTACAAATAACTGAAAACTTGGGAGTGCTCTAAATATCCCCAGCATGAATTAGTTCCCATCCTACTCAACCAGGTCACGTACATACATACACTAGTACCCATGTACACAATACAGTAAAGATCTTCAACATATTCAGCATGGGAGCAGAAAAGCATTTTTGTGATGGAAAAGTTAAGCCTTGGACAAATCAGGCCATCCTCTCCTAACGTGACTCCTTGGGGTTAGTTACAAAATGAAGTTTGTAACTGCCAACAGCTACCAATTAAGTTATAACTACTTAAAAACTAAGTATCAGCTTTAAACGGTCACTTATACTTTAACTGATGTGTGCTGAATTTAATTTATAAAACAAAAAATTAGTGAGATTAAATTAAACAGAAGCACATCTCTCAGTCTAAACATTTTTTAAAGGCATTGTTTTCACATGCACTACCAATCAACTAAATGCCCAATCTTGCTATGGACACATTTTAATACTAAGAAAATAATTTTAAACTGGCCTCCATGACAGAGATATTTGTTCCCAGATCAGCAAAAGTTAAAAAGTAAACTTTATAAAAAAAAGTTTCTTAAAAATGCAAATGCCACAGCTCTAAATCAAAGCTCAAGCACACTAACATTCCTCAATCTGTTACATCACTCAATGACAGATTATAAACAGTCAATCCAAAAGCTAAATTTAATTGAATTAATACAAAATTGCTCTTGATTTTGGAAAACGTTTGTAACTTTATTCACATGAGCCCCAGTTCAGCAATACAGTTCGGCACATGCTTGACTTCATTCAAATAGTCCCATTGACTTTTGCAGAACTCCTCACATATATACTACTAAGCACATGCTTAACTGTTTGCACGATCAAGGTATCAGTGCCCATGTAGTCTGGATTGTCGCATTAACAGAGAGAGAGGATACTTGCTATTAAATGGGAAAGAACATTACAGCAAAGTATTAGACTTTTCATATTCCCAGCTGCAAAATATCAATAAAATAATAAAATAAAAAAATATTGATAGTATGCTACACATTAGAAGGATTTTCTGTTTATATTTGGAACTTACCCCTCTTCTGAACCCAGCCTTCTTTCACAATGGTAACATCGCTCATGATGGCTCCACTCTGAGCCCTCAATTCAGAGAAAAATTCTGTTCAATTATCAGCTTAAACGTTTGGCTTCTCTTCTGCTGCCCTTCCCAATCTCTACTGAGGAGTCAGCCTGGAAGGAAGTATTAGAGAAGGAATAAAGAGTTAAATTCTAACAGCTAAGTCTTTACAAATGTCTCTCATTGATTGACCCATATTTAAAAAAAGGGCCTGTTAAAACAATTTTTGAATAGCACTATAAAGAAAGTACTTCTCTGGTCTTATGGCAGGTTTCAACAGCAAACAGAACTTTCAACTAAAATACAGTTGTTGCAAACAATGTTAAATAAACTATTATCACCTACACCAACTGTAGAGTATAGAGTTCTGTCCATGTCTATAATGCAATTAAAGGAGACTGTCAATGGTTGGACCTACAGCACCTTTCCCTGTTTTCAGATGTTATCAGTGTCCATGTAATTCATAAGTGGTTCTATTTTTAAACTTTCAGTGCTCTTATTTTCAGTTTTTTATTTATTTAAAATAAAGTGCCAGATGCACAGGACTCATGAAAAACATCAAGAGATAGTATACCACACATATACATTAGAAGAAAAGTTATTTAAAGAAATATTTCAGTCTGAATCCAGTTAGGGATTATAAATGAGAGGTTATTTTTTCATGATTGCTGAAGTCTGCTTTTAACTGATTTGTAATTTTAACAAACATAAGGTTATAGAAATATTTCCATACCCTACCCAATCCAAGCCCTAAAAACACTTCAAAATTAAAGTAATTAGCAGAATCATATTGCGTACAAAACACCTCTTATGTAAAAAACAGATTAAAAAGCCTCTTAAGAGTTGTCATTAGCCAAAAAAAAGGTATAATTTTAGGGTACATATCTTCCCACAACTTTCAACCCAGTTTTTAGATGGTACGGTAGAACTGAACCTTATATCCAGAAGTGTCACTGTCAGAAGCCACACTGTTTCCTCCTAAACACCTCCCTCCACAAGCCTGCACCATATTACAGGAGAGAGAGAGAGAGAGAGAGAGAGAGAGAGACTAAAGTCGGGGGGAGAGGGGAATAGAGACTACTTTTTGTTATATTATTTTGT